AAGATGTTCCAAAATGTCAACTTGCATCGTCGCAAACTGATCCAAGAGATCCATTCTTCTTTGACCCAAAATTTGTTTTGAATACTGTTTGTATGTTTCCATTTTCTCATTCAAGCTAATCAAGATGTGATGTTCAAAAGTTGTGAAAATTGAGCTATGGATCCCCTTTAATGGATTCAAGCTTTGTGCAACAATTATAACATGTTGCGAAGTGATATTTTTATCTTTCCAATTTTCATAAATAGTTCTGATGTCAGGCAGGAAGAATGAAAGAGATGACGCGTGGGAAAGTTCAGTTTTTATGTCATCGCATAATGTGTCCATTTTCAGTTGATTGCTTAAAACTCCATAGTAATCATTGTTTTTTAGAAATTCTCCTAGGCACATATTTTTATTAGTTTGAAGAAACCAATCCATATTTTTTGTAGCTTGAGAAGAACGGTCTTCTGCACAAAATGTGAACAAAGTCAATAACTCGTCTAACCAATTAACTTTATTTCTTTTGAAATATGGACGTAAAATGTTTCTTTCTTTATTTTCAGCTGCTTGAATTTTTTTAATAAACTTTTCAATCATTATATCATAATTATCTCCCATAGCTCCTTTGATGTAGAACTATCGTAAAGATAGAAACAGTAAATTAAACAATAATATTGAAATATTATCAAAAAACATTTTTGATAAATAAATGTAAAGTGTAAGTTGACAGAAATTTTTACCTCGTCTAACACCAAAATCGATAAAAATGCTAAAAATAAGAATTGCTTCATTATTTCAGTTGTCGACACGATTATTGAAATTAAAACTTATATAAAATGAAGAGATATCTTGACTTTTATACTTTAAATTTTCAAAATTAGCTATTCGTAACTTCAACAAAACATTTTTCAACGCAGGCGAAACATTGTTGAAATTCAGTAAATTACATTAAACTCGCTTATTACGTTACTAAACACATTTTTATTATTTGCTTTTATTTTCAAAAGTTTTACGTCAGCAAAAAAAAACATGTTTTTCGTTGGTTTATGAAAAATTCCAGACTAACACGTGGAAACTGAAATACGTGCTTCAATTATTTAGCTTGGTTCTACGTGCATTTCTATAACAAATAATATAAACGGTATTTGAAATATAATTAAATTTTTGTATGAGACATATTCTGTTCGATATCGAAATGACTTCAAAAAAAGTAGAAAGTGCTACCGCCAAGGGGCGAAGCAGTACTAGATTCAATTTTTTCAATTCCATTCAATTCCACTGAATTCTGTTCAATTCCAAATTAAATTCTAGTCCGTGTGTTTTAACTCATTTATTTCAGCAAATTTTAGGTATTACAAGGAGAGTTTCATATAAAGTCGCCATATAGCAGCAAAATGACACTTGCGTGTATTATTCGCCAAGTGTGATTTGGATGATGAAGAATGTGAATTTTTTGATTCTGATTGAACCAGGCGATACAAAAAATTGACAAAATGTGAGAATTGAAGAAAAAAAATTATTTATTTTTTTTGTCATTTTTTATGACTTTTCACCATCATATGAAAAACACGGAAGACTGCTGAAATGGCACGTCTTACGTCCGTACATATTTTGTATTTGCCATTCCAGCGGTCTTCCGTGTTTTTCATACAAATCTCCCATCAGATGGTGAAAAATCGTGAAAAACGAAAAAAAAAAATAGTAATACTACAGTAATAGTTGCTATTAGTACCGGGAATTGTTCGTCTTCTAAGGAGGAGTCAAACTCAAATTATGGATGCAGTCACAGACACACATTTTCTTCAAATTATAGTTTTACAGCAGGATCACTGTTACTTTAATTTGATGAAATTGTGTATCTCTGTGTATCTGTATCCATAATTTGAGTTAGATTCAAATTATAGCATTGAAATTTCAATATAACAGATCATAAATTGTCGATCAAGACATCAAAGTTCACTTGTTCATTTCATTGTTTATTGCTTTAAAAATTTTCTTTAAATTTGTTTGTTGTTCAATTTTCTTGCATAGAACAAAGCAATTTTTGTGAGCTCAATCAAGTTTCATTTTCAATTTCAATCATATTTGTTTTTTGAATATCAATGTTCAATATAGAACGGAAAAAAAGTGCATAGCCAAACGATTAGTATTGAGAAAACGAAATTTTATAAACGTAACCTTTGCAAAAGTGGAATTATTAAATTTTTCAGTGATGTCTAATTCAGACCAGAGTATTCATGATTTACTTGCAAAAGCAATATCAGGCTCCGATCCAACTGTGGTGGACTTTAGCGCGCTCCGGGAACTACTTCAAATGATTGAAAAACGCTTGAAAAACATTCGCATTGTAATGACAGATTCAACAGAAAACGGCCAGGATGAAAAATTTAATGGTGAAATGGTTGTCGCTGTTACTGAATATGATGAAGAACAGCACCCAGAGACTACTGAGACTGGTATTGATCACAAAAATAAAAAGAAGTAAGTGAAATATAAAATATTATTATGATTTTCAATATGTTGCAGATGTTACAATCGAAGAGAAAAACCTTGCTAAAAAAAAGTACATTACTAAGCTAACTCCGTCTGAGGTCAAATCTCCGAAAAAGGTTAAAAAACAAACCAAAGAACAAAGTTTTGAACCAAAACCGGCGAAATATAAGCCTGAAGAAAAAAGTGACAAAAAGAAAAAAGCGCTAAGCCCGATTTCCCCAAGAAGAATTAAACACAGTGCAGATGAGAAGGTGAAGATGGATACGGTTGAATCACAGTCTAACGTAGAAGAGCAAATAAGTAATGACACCAAAATTGAAGAAGAAATTGCGTTATAACTGATAAAGCTAATGAAATTCCTTCCAAAAAAATAGGCACACCAGAAAATGAGACCGAAAAGGAGGATGTTGAACTTACACATCAAGAATCGGTTGAGACTGATGAACGTACACCTTCTTTGAATGAGATTGATTTACACCTTAACATTGATGAAACGGATGATGAAGATAGGATTGCTCTTCTCTCCGAGGCAACGTCAATCAAAATTTTTTTGCAAAAAGATAGTGTTGAAAGTGCAGATGCAGATGAAAGATCGCTAGCATCGTCGCTGGAATCAAAACCACAAGAGCAATACAACAAAGATGACATCGAAAGTTTCTCATCGGGTGCAGCAAAAATTGAAAAAGTACCGAGACTTAAACGTGATTTCAAAGCTAAGGCGAATGACTTGAAAGATCCAAAACCAAAACAAAAACGTCTAAAAGAAATAACACGATCATCTATACCAACGGTTGATAAGTCGTCGATTCCACCTGATGTTAAATCATCAGTTGGGCTAAAGCGAAGATCGAAAATCCGAAAACTACCGCCATCGGCTGAAACTTTGAATGCGCTAAACAAATATTCAGGTATGAAGGAAATGTCCAGTTCCGATAAGAATTATGATGAGAGTGCTACCGAAAAATCAGTTACACTTGCTGATAAAATTGAAACGCCAAAACAGAGTCGCTTCCGATCGAAATGCGATAAAATGACGCAAACTTGTCCGCTCGACAAAACGGAACAAAAATGCTGTAAGTGTAATGCATTACGAAATTCAAATGTTTGCATTTGCACTCCACAAAAATGTCTGCGATTTTGTTTTTGCCCAAATTCATACGTGAAAGATAGTGATAGCGAGAGTCATCACATACAATGCAGTTGCGCGGAAAATAAATAATTTTCTCTTCGCATAAAACACAAATTCAATGCATTTTTTTCTTCGTAAAATTGTTCAATGAACATTTTTTTAGGCATGATTTTGTTTTCGCTGAGAATGTTCATTATGTTAAACTCCCAATAAACTGAATAGCATTCTTTTGGTATCAAAAGCATATTTAATGGTTTCGACTACATTGTCTCGTTTCAATAATGACGACGATAAAAATAAGAAAATGTCAAGATTGGATTTGGTTTGTGTGCGAGCAACGGTTTAAATTGGTTATAAATGATGCTAATAAATAATGGCTCCAATAGTTCATTAAAAATCAATTGATTTGTGTGGCCACATTCGTTCGGAATGTGATGAAAGGATTTCATGGCGTTTGACAAAATTCGAAAATGATGGTGGCAATAACACAATTCTTCAACCGCATCGTGGTATTTTCTCATCATATCTCATCTTTGTCCCGGTTAATTGTCTACCAAACGAAATATGTGCACGTAAAAGTATCACAAACCTAATCTAACCGAAGAAAGGAATAAAAAAAAATTGAAAAATCATCAAAATGAGAACATGGGCATAAAGGGAATCAATCAATGTACTATAATATCAGCCAATGTGATATTTTATGTTCGACATTTGGTTTACTGTAGAACATACAAATCATGTTCCATCAACTGAATAAATTGTATGCGATGATACATCAACTTTTTTCGATTGGAATGCCGTACATCGATGTCTCCTAGATACAGACGAGCGTACAACGATTGAGCTGGTAAAACGCACATTTATATCACAGGTCAAGCGACTATCAACATCAAATATGAAATCGATTCGGACAGATACAAGACTGTATGCGCCACTGACACAACCATCCATCGCCCATCGCTTCACTTTTCACTCTCCATCTCTTGCACTCTTCTCTTCAATTTTTTTGTTGTTGTACTATTACTATCAGCATCATTTTTACTATTTGGTATTTTGTTTATTGTGGATGTAAACATTTGAACAAAGATCATTTATCAGAATGTCACACAAGAGCCTGAGTAAACTGAAAAAAGTGTAAAACAAATGATGCGAACACTGAAATTGATTCCTGAACACAGAATGAAAAAAAACAGCCGATAGACTGGCCGTTCGATGAGAGACGAGAAATGCATTATTATGCTGGTTGTGTTTTCGATGCGCATTCCGAACCATGACCGAAAAATGTGCGAGTACAAGGGATGAAAAATTACTTTGTTTTTGTTATTTCTCTCTCATAGCCAAAATAAAATGTGTACCTATTCAACAAAAAAGTGTACATTTATTTCTGTTGCCGTTTTTTCCTTCTCTTCTCATCCTTATCTCTAGCCATCGTCTCTCAATGCATTCGAAATGCTTGACATTTATTATTAGCTTATGACTCTTTTTTTACCTGTTTGTCATTGAACGGCTTGCATACAATGCAAGTACATCAGATTTTCATTACTTTTATGATAATCTTTTTGCCATTCGTACAGAAAGTACAAAAAAAGAAATGCTAATCGATTTTTTTTGCCGATTTTGCAAATCCGGAATGATGAAAACATTTATGGATTTGGAAGATTAACTGGATCATTTATTGTAAAGTATTTTTCGATCCATGCATCTTGATTGATACATCCGACTCAGCTGCATACTTGTTTCATTACATTTGACAAAAAAAAACATTGTTTATAAAATAAATCGTTCAACAAACCTGGACAAAAATGACATGAGAAAAGTGACCTCGTTTTCAATTGAATAAAAAGCAATTGATTTTTCGAGAGATCCGCAAACAAACGAATATAGTAAACTAGTGATACACTGTCACATTTATGTCAGTATTACTTTTTTTCTCGTTATAAATTCATCTTATTTTGCAGGCAAAGAAAATCAAGACATTCAGATGCAACAAAAGGAAAATAAAATGGGACAAAACACTAAATCATCGCCCATTGAAGCATTACCGAATCGAAGAAAGTGCATGTGCCGACTACCAATGGCATGTAATTACGTCAAAAATTCCAAACAACGTCCAATTGCTTGCTACTGTGCCTGTTCATACATTCAAGGAATCAACGCAAGTACAAATCAATGTCGAAAACGTTCTTTATTGTAAAATTCGAAGAAAATAAATGATGGAGCGTTACTTAGATATCACTGAGCAGTGTTTGTTTAAACCGATCATCAATTAATAATATTTTTTTAGTGTTTGTAACGTTAATGAGAAAAAAAATCCTATTTACTTTCACTTTAAAAGAAATATTGCTGCCATTCATCCATTTTTCACTTTCTTTCAAGCATTTTTTGGAAACATATTTCATCTGATTGAGTCCAATATATGTATGTGTATCCTGAATAAGCCATCGTTTATTTACAAAAATACATTGTCGAAATTTTAATCGAAAATATCGATTATTGATGTCTTGAGAATTTTTAGTGGTTTATGCGCATTTTGACCTCTTTGTCTCTTTCTCGTTTCTCGTTTGTAGAAGATATAAAATCCATAAACTGAGTTAAAGTCGAGTTCTCATACAAATTGGAAAATTTTAAGTTGGAATTCTCAATAAAATGAAATATATTCGAATAATTCTCATTGGAAAAAAATCCAAACATGAATCAGACTTTAGACGTAAAAGTGGTGGTGTTTAGACGTAAAAATGTTGGCTATAAAGTGTCATTATTTTAAGTAATTCTGTCAAAGCACACACACTCGATGTTCAAGTTGTCTGTAAAAACTTGAGCGCTTAAATGCTCAAATTTATACAAACAAAGTAGAAAATGTTCGTTATAAGCCATAATAAAATGCAAAGGACAATCCCTTTCGAGAAATGAAGTGCATTCGATTTTTATGTGCCCATAATAAATATTGTGTACATTACATACACAGGTATATTGATGTTGGTGAAGAATTGTCAAAAACCCTTTACATCAAATTGAGAGGAACAGCATTGTTTGTTTGTTTGTTTTGAAAACTGTTCAAAATGATTGGTTGCTTCGTTTCAAGTGGCACTTTTTTCCAACGATTTTTACCTTTCCATTTTGCCATTTTTATTTGGAAAAAATCATTGAAATCAGTGCGTTTCATTCATGCCATTCTTAGCATTCAAGTACAAACAAAAGCTGCATTAAATTGACGAATTTATATAGGTTTTTCGGTATAAATTGAATGCCATTGAATTGATAAACAATCAAGTAAATAAACAAATTAAATATCGTCTGCACAGAATGTAAACAATGGCATGCACTCGGCAAAAATGCTATTTTTTGGAGTCTATTGGAGTGGTCAATTATTATTAATATTGATGAGCGTGGCTTAAGCCCGTGTATGGCCAGTGGATGGTCATATTTTGAGTTGATAAGTAGCTTAAAAAGGGGTTATCAACGCATGAGGTCTGAATTGCAGCATTTTATCAAAATGATAGCATTAACATGGATTTCATCGATTTAAACTATGATTCCAGAGGCTTTTAGGTAATCATTATGAAAATGTTGGGAAAAAAATGAATTATCAGAACAAATTTGGATTGGACAATTGACAACCGAAACAATGCGAGATCATTCAATGCGGAATTTATAATGAACTGTGTGTATGTGTTGCATGAAAAAAGTTGTAAATGTTCATGCTTATAATCGTAGTTAATTTGTGAAGTCCGATTGCAAAATGGCTAGATATGGCGACGTCCATTGGCGATCCATTAAAAATCCATCAACTTTCGTTGAAAGCATACAATTTCGTCACTTTTGAAAATCTCCTACACACGTTTACAACGAGAGCAAATGTCAACGATCGCCTAAAGCCCATCAAACACTTATCCGAGTGAAATGTTAATCTTTTAGCTTGATCTAAGTGATATGAAATTATGCATGTTCCCCTCTCTAAATCCACTTCGTGTTGGAATTTACAAAATATTACTATTACATAAGACTTTTAAATTCTAAATTCCACGCTGTAAAAATAAAGTGAAACAAATAGACGAGAGTATGAATTCTTAATTTTAACACTTGGTACCAATAAAATATTTTTTTCTTAGTAAATACAGGATTATAAGTGTTGTCATCGTTCAACAAAAACAAGGAGACATCCATAAGGTTTACTTCAACTACAATATAACGTACTTGCCCAACCCTTTTTTCTAATTTCATAAAAAATTATGTCATTTCATCCAAAAAACTTCAATGATGTACTGCAAATTAATTGTCTTTGGAGAATATCCAATAATCTGGTGTTTCATAATAATTCAAAAGAAAATTCGATGCCAATATATATAGCGAATGGAACCTTCATTAAAAGTTTGAATAAAAAATGACCGAATTTAGTCCATAGTGACAACAAATGGGTATGCACCAATTTTGAAAATCGTCACCACTTTGTTGAGTACAAAAGTTTGAAGTTTATTAAAAATGAAAATTTGTCGTATACTAAGACAAGAATGTTAATGTAACACAATCGATTTTATGTGTTTTAATGTTACCGAAATATACATGACTTTCTTGTGTATGGAATTGAAAATAGATGCTTGATTATGCTCATACTGTGTACATATTCCGAAAAGTGAAGCCGGACTGTTGATGTATCCATTTACAGTGGAATTTTGTGTAGTTATTTGAAATAATTCGCATTTTCAAGGGAATTGAATTAGTTCATTTGCAGTGACAACAGTTTAGAGAAGATTTTTCAAATAGACGATATTTTATAGCTATTTCCGAGATCGGTGCATTACTTGTGCGACATTTGATGATTGTTGCACTTAAAATTCCATCTCGTTTTATTTTTGATCCGAAATTGTCTCTCAGCTCCAACAATAGCAGTAGCAGCGGCGGCGGCGGCACCAGGAGATAGAAAGAAATGCATCGGAACAAGGAAAACCGAAGACGGAATGACATTCGAAACAAATTGATTCAGACAAAAGCACTTAACGCTGAGGCCGTGAGCTCAAAAGTGTATGAGCATTTTCTCGTTCTCATTAAGTGATACTCTGCTGTATCGAGTGTATTAAAATGGTCTTAATGCAATGGGCACAACAGAGCACTACGAAAAAAAAAACAAACACACACACACACATGCACACAAACAAAAACGTCGACACTATAAATTAATGTGCCGAACGATTACCAGCTTGAAAACTGGGAACTTGTGCAAACAAATAGAAATAGTAGCGACATTCGTTGACTGGATTAAAATACATCTGATGTTATGCTCATGTCGTGCAAAGCAAACAAAGTAGATCCGAAAAAAAAACCAACATTCACAGAAATGTATCGCATGGCGTTTTAACTCGAAAAGGCAATGCAACGGCACACAGCCTCACATTGTCATCACATCCAACGCTAGAAAGATAGAGCGCCCAGAGTTTATAGTCGCGTTTTTCGCTTGTGTCGCGATAACTTTTCAACAACAGCAAATTGTTTGACATATTTTTTTTTCCTTCTCCATCCGTTCTGTGTGTTTTCTGTCGTTTTCTTTGCCTATTTTGTTGTGCCGTTGTTTCGACAACAGCCGAAATAATATAAAATCGACTACATTTAAAATTCCTTTTTGATGTTGTGATAAACGTGTTACATGCAACAATTACCAGATCTCTTTTCTCGTAAAATAGTTTGTCTGTTTCGTTTTTCTTTCACTCGATTCGTTTGCCATTTTATGTATTTGCTTCACATTGTGTGAATTATAAGCGCAAGTTTCAAGAAAAATTGGTTTCGATTTCGCTTTGATTTTTCAGTTCGACTGTGTCGCTTTTGGAGATACAACTTTGGTTAAGGTTAATTTGCATCGGCATTTTTATGGACTATTGACATCGTGTAATGTTTCATCTCGAATTGAAAACAAAAAACAACGGTTTTTTTTCTTTTAATTTCCTACTTTGGCTGCTATCTCTCGTGACAATTGAAAAATGAACGAATAATTTCAACGCGACAAAAGGTGAACTGATAACCGATTTTAAACATTGATACCATACACAAATTGCTTTTCAATGCAATAAATCTACACGAAAAAATAAGGAAATCTATTTTAATACAAAGCCAACCAATGTAGGAAGAGAAAGTAAGCAACGTGCTGAAAAAAAATACATTTTCTTGTGAAGGTATTTTTAAGCCGACATTAATCAGAGAGAAAGAACAAACAAACGAATGAGTTCGTTGAAAATTAGTCGGTTGTTTGTAATTTGAATGTTTTGAAAGCACAAATCCTTTTTTGTTGATCTACTGTCGGTGCAAGTGTGTGGCCAAAATAAAGTCAAACACAAAAAGCATTTAAGATTAAGTTAATATGTTTGGATGTGAAAATTTCAATCAAGCAACCGAGTCACAATGAATCCTAGCTAAGCCTCTGTTGCCATACATTACAAAGACAGGCAAAAAATCTAGTTTGAATAAGCAGAAAACTTTTTGAAGCTTAGAATAAAAGAAATTCCGAACACGATCGCAAACGTCTGTTGTGCAACTAGCACCGGAAAAAATGAAATAATTAATTTCGTGATTTATGTTTATTCATGGTGTATACAAGTTTAGTCGTGCTAGTGCAAAATGTTCCCATCTTCCAGTGACGGATGGTACAAAAAATATGTAGGAAAAAAATGTAACTTTTCTGCACGGAATCTATTCAGTGTCACGACAATTTGGTGTTCAAGTTGAAATGCCGTTAATGCCATTGGCTCCTCACTATTTCTTTTTTGCTCTCTCTCTCTCTCTCTCTGTATTGGCATTTTTGTCGTCTGGTACAAGTTTTTGCTTAATTCAAGTTCCGGTTTTGCTTGGCTAATTTAATGTCGATTCTCTTTAATTTGCCAGCAAACTTTTTTTCTCCGCCAAGCATTTGGACGAACATCATGTCAAATCTAACATATTCATTAGTTGACATCAAAATCCATCGAATCGGAATGTGTATGTAGTAAGTAATCGAACAAAATCCTTTTGGGATGATTGGTCGTGAGTTGATTTTTTTGACTTGATAGAATTTACAATGGATTCCAAGTAATTACATGACCCAAGAGATTGTTGCTCTTTTCCTGAATAGATGAAATCAGTGTCGGCATTTCACAAAGCAACACTAATGAAGTTCAAATATCGCTACATGCTCGCACTGCCAATGCAAACACAAAAACGAATTATTTTAAC